GTTTGAAACAGAAATCTTTTTTTTTTTTTTTGTATTTACTGTCACTTTTAAACAATGTATTGTGCCATACCCATTACTGAATGAAAGTATATATTTTTTTATTTTATCTTAAAAAAAAAAAAAAATCTTATTGACACCAAATTATTTCAACAGGTGCACTTATCCATGTTTTTCGACCTGTATGTTATAACTTATCGGACATGGGTTATCTGTCTATACATTTAGAAAGAGTAACTCATTTCAAATGAATATTAAACTTCTTAACTCACAATGTCCAGTACAGTTGTACATGATCAAAATTAACTAAAATGGGTCCATCCACTTTGAAGATGGAGCTCTGAAATGCATGCAGGTTTGTTTTAGATCACTCGATGTATAATGAATTATTTTACTTGAGGTGATTCTACCGAGGTAGCCTTTTTTCTTCTTGTAAATGAGGGATGTAATCTAATAATGGTTCTTTCACTTCACTTCAGCTCCTGTCATAAAAGAAGACAGCAAGAAATGAGAGAGACGTAATGGGTTGGAGAAACTGTGTCACTATCCTTTTTCTGTCTCCTGAAACCGATCCCTATGACGTGTCCGTGATCAAATGACAGAGCAAAGAAATATTTCAGTGGTTTTCTTCTTTTGCTTGTGCTCTACATTTCTCACTAACATCCCATGGTTTGTGCTTAGGTGTGGTTTTCCTTTCTTTATTGCTTGGGTTCATTTAATTTCACTTCATTTTACTGTATTTAAGATCTCAGCTGTAGGGTCTAGTATTTTGTCATCCACACTTTGATGTTATATAACGTGTTAAATAAAGCTGAGTTTTCTTGAAGCTCATTGTTATCATATGGTTTTCTTTTGAACACATTCTTAAAATAATTATATTACTCATTTGCATTTTAGCACATTTTTCCCGAACACACAAGAAATGTCCTTTTTCTTTGAACTGCGACATACATGCGTCACCAAGCAGACGCTATCAATTAGCAATTAGCTACATGAGAAACAGTGCCCTCGGGGAGCGGAAGACAAGTGTCTACCGGAAGTTTCCATACATCATGATGACGCAGTCTCCTGTCTATTTGTGTCTATGCATTGTGATGGCGCCATAGATATCCATAATAAGGGCTAGATGTCTCGTCTGCGCTGCTGGCCAATGGAGGTCAACGTCTGTACCTGACGGCTATCTTGTCACAGGCAGCTTGCTCACATTTGTAACATTGTGTTTTAATGGTGTATTTACTTTTTAAAGAACCACTTGCTCAATTTTCAACAGATTTTCAAACGGTTTGGTTTGTTATAAATGTCAGAGATGTAGTTATTACACTGAATACTTACGAATAATAAGTGTATAAATGAACAATCATCCAGAATTATAGCCAAGTTTATAGCGTTTGTAAGAAACCAAACCATTTGTAAATCCGTCAAGATTTCAACGAGATAAGAGCATTTGTGTTCGTGCTGATCACTCATCTTACATCAAGTACCACAGAGCCGCCAGAAAGCTTGCCTGTGACAAGATGGCCGCTGGTGATGATGATAGAGACTCCGCCATAAGACATCTAGCCTTTATTATGGACATCTACTGTATGGGTGGTGCAGCTATCAAACGCATTCTTTATGCACAGGTCAGTATGTCCCACAGTCTATCTTGAAGCATCAACTCAGTGGTTTTATCCTGAGAGCAGATAGATACCATGGGTGGCCTGCATGGCTTTGTTCTGGAATTTTCTAAAGTGGCAATTGGAGAGGATGAAATGTTTGAAATGAGTCCCAGATATGCCATGATGGCCGAGGTGTTAAAATGACTGGGTGGCCTGTTCCATATTAAAAGTAAGCAGCTGTGTCTCTGTCCTTGTGCACACACTACACTGGCATTTCTTTAATTGTTCACAACTGGTTTTATTACTGGCCAAAATATTACATACCGTATTTGCTTAATAAAAACAGTATTATTTTTGGATCTGATTAAACGTTACATGTCCCGCTGACAGAAATATGTTCTACAAATGTTTTTCTTTAAAAAAAATAAATAAATAAAAAATAGATAAACAATTAAATAAAGACATTGGCTATGTTAATGTGAACATTAATTAAACATTCCATTTTATAATTTTCAAACGTTATGGACATTTTACTGTAACGAGTAGGCCTAACATAAAAAAAAAATTTAGACGAACGTCACACTAAAATGTTTCAGAGAAAACACTCAATGCAAAACGTTTTTGTACTAATGCTGAGAACAGTATGACTATATATATATATATATATATATATATATATATATATACATTATATATAAGTTAGATATATGCACTCACCGATTCTTTATAAATGTTGGCCCATATTGATAGAAGAGCATCTTGCAGTTGAAGGAGATTTGTGGGATGCACATCCAGGGCATGAAGCTCCCATTCCACCACATCCCAAAGATGCTCTATTGGGTTGAGATTGGGTTGGCTTTGTGACATGGAGCATTATCCTGCTAGAAGTAACCATCAGAGGAGGGGTACATGGTGGCCATAAAGGGATGGACATGGTCAGAAACAATGTTCAGTTAGGCCGTGGCATTTAAAGGGCACTAATTGGCCTAAAGTGTGCCAAGAAAACATCCCCCACACCATTACACCACCAGCCTGCACAGTGGTAACAAGACATGATGGATCCATGTTCTCATTCTGTTTACGCCAAAATCTGACTCTACCATCTGAATGTCTCAAAAGAAATCAAGACTCATTAGACCAGGCAACATTTTTTCCAGTCTTCAACTGTCCAATTGTGGTGAGCTCTTGCAAATTGTAGCCTCTTTTTCCTATTTGTAGTGAAGATGAGTGGTACCCGGTGGGGTCTTCTGCTGTTGTAGCCCATCCGCGGCTCCGCCTCAAGGTTGTGTGTGTTGTGGCTTCACAAATGCTTTGCTGCATACCTTGGTTATAACGAGTGGTTATTTCTGTCAAAGTTGTTCTTCTATCAGCTTGAATCAGTCGGCCCATTCTCCTCTGTCCTCTAGCATCAACAAGGCATTTTCTCCCACAGGACTGCCACATAGCCTACTGGATGTTTTTCCCTTTTCACACCATTCTTTGTAAACCCTAGAAATGGTTGTGCGTGAAAATCCCAGTAACTGAGCAGATTGTGAAATACTCAGACCGCCCGTCTGGCACCAACAACCATGTGCCACGCTCAAAGTTGCTTAAATCACCTTTCTTTCCCATTCTGACATTCAGTTTGGAGTTCAGAAGATTGTCTTGACTAAATGCATTAGTTGTAAGATAATGCATTAATATTAATATAGGTAATTGTATATATACACAGTCACCTAAAGGATTAGGAACACCTGTTCAATTTCTCATTAATGCAGTTTAATCAACCTATCACATGGCAGTCAATGCATTTAGGGGTGTGGTCCTGGTCAAGACAATCTCCTGAACTCCAAACTGAATGGAAGTTTCCTTCAGAAATCATTCTTATATGTAAACAGCATTTATTTTAAATATAATCTTTTGTAACTAACTTTTTGATCAATTTAATTCACCCCTTGATTCTATCCCCCCAAAAATAAAATAAAACATCTTACTGAGCCCAAACTTTAGAACAGAAGTGTTTGTTTAATGTTACAAAATATTTCCATTTCAGAAAAAATGCTGTTCTTTGGAACTTTCTTCTCCCAATCCTGAAATAAAAATGTAATTAGGCTAACTGTTTTCAGCATTGATAATAATTTCATATTAGAATGATTGCTGAAGAATTATGTGACACTGGAGTAATGATGCTGAAAATGCAGCTTTGACCACAGGAATAAATTACACTTTAATACCTGTATATTCACATAGAGGACCGCTGATTTCAATTCTAATAGGTATAATATTTCACAATATTGCTCTTAAATTGTAATAATATTTCACAATATTGCTGTTTGTTTTTATATTTTTAATCTAATGAATACAGCCTTGGTGAGCAGAAGAGTATTTAAAAAACCACAAAAAAAAAAAAAAAAAAAAAAAAGAAAAGAAAAAAACATTAGGCTACAAATCTTACCAAACCATAACTTTTGACTAGAATATATAATCAAGGGATGTTTAACTAGTACTACCTTTGGCTTCAGTGGAGCCATTGACTTCAAAACAGTCCGAGGAAATGCAGAGGGTGGGCTTGAATGACAGATTGATCATCCATACATTAATACAGTCGGCAGGCCTATTTTTTTCTTCATTACCACAGTTCAAACTTTCTACACCTTGTCAGAAGAGGGATTGTTTTTATATTACGTGTTATTAATCAGTGAGTGAGGCATTCGGTGACGTGCAGGCCCCATCTTAACGATGCAACCTGAGACAGGCGGAACACGGTCGATGACAAATGTTGACAAGAAACTAAATTGGGCTGACTAATCCCTCGAGTGTTTATCGGTCTGTGACCGTGTGACATCGCTTTATGACACACGACTCACGTAGGCTATGTGAATGTTGTGATAGAGGTCTTGAATACATTAATTTACTGCTGGCAAAATGGATGAAAAAAAAAAAAGTAAACTCATCCCCAATCTTTCATGCAAACAAGTTTTAAATATATAATTTTCGGATCCCGTTACTAATCAATGCCAATTTTTGTAGCCTATGCTTTGTTTGTTACTTCAGTGTTCAATAAAAAAAAAAATGATTAAACTAATGTAGCTAATTCCACGTTGAACTTTCTATTCACTCTTTTTTACATTTATTTTCTGTTCCTGTGGGATTATATAACATTAATCATTTATCATTTTTTTTTAAACAATTAAGTTGCAATTATTTATTCTGATCAAGATTTTTTAGTGCCAAAGTGCCTTAGACCAGATAACTGTATTGTTGACCAGTGCTGTACTGCAGCGCCCTCAAGTGTTTAGGTGAATGCACACTAGTCTGGCTAAAAGATGTTGGCTGTACTGTTGCCTGGGAATTCAAATATTAAACCTTTTTTCTAAAATCTTTCTCTTTCACACATGCAAAGTAAAAAAAAAAAAGAAGCACACAAAAGATTTAAACCCACAGTATATTAAACTATCCTCAAATCACTTTTTGATCAGTCTTTATACATCCACATTAATGTAACAATACAGCAAGACAGAACTGTCAAATAATACATTAAAACAACAGATACTTAAAAACAGTCTAAAAACTAGCTGACCAGACACTGAAGAGCTCCCAAAAAGGACGCAAGTTTGGTCTTGTTACTTGAATCACAGGGACAATGTGGCCAAGATAAATCAATACAAAACTTTCCTGGAACAAAAAAATCTAGAGAGAAAAATCACTTTATCAAAATGGGTAAAATATATTTAAAAAAAATGGTTATAAAAATAGTTAGTCCCCCCTCCCCCCCGGTGGAAAAACCCAAGTATAATGGGGGGTGAGTAACCTGTTAGAGATGATGATAGGATGTCTTATTGCTCTTGTGATACATGATGATGCTTTAAAATTCTTGATATTGTAGAAAGAACCAACCTGAGCACATAATACACCAAAGAATGAAAGGGATCGCTTGATTCTTGATGCTGCTTTTTTTTGTCAATAACACAAATGATTCCTTCATGCAAGACATCAGACCGCCTTTTATCTCTCACCCCCAAAACACCTACGTATCTCACAGCTCAGGGTGAGTCATGGGCCTCTATGATTAGACGCGTTAAATATTTTATGAGAGACTGAGAAAAATAGATTCTTTTTTTCCCAAGCTTGTCAGACACTGAAAATACCTACATTTGAGGTTAAAAATACATCAAGCGTGTTGCATTTTTTAAACATGTGAAAACGAGTACAAAGAGAAAGTGCAGTGTGAAACTACTTTCAAAACATGAATCTTGACAAATCAGGATTTAACTAAAAAACACATCAATTAAATCCTTCAAATTTGGCTACATGAACAAGTAGTGCTGAAGCTTAAGTAGTGAATGTAATGGGACTACTTCTTTAGCCACTGAGGTATCTGGAGAAGACCTGATAAACCTTAAAACATCTCAGCTCCAGATCTGCATCTCTTTCCCCATAATGGGTGAATGAATTACTGACTTTACAGAAAAAACGTCTAATCAGGTTTTAAAAGAAAAAAAAAAAAGCACGAAAAGAAACAGCACCAATTGATTGAATCAATTTCACTTGAGCTTCATTTAGACATGCCTCCATGGTGAAAAAGTTTCTTTAACATTCATTTATGCATTCATTGCTGTTTTGTTTCCTCGTGATATGCTAATATAACCACTTAAGTGAATTAATTCTAAAACATGATGCAGATGTTTTTAATAATCAGCATGTACTGGGCGTAACATCCGACTGGACGCACAGCCGAGTGAAAGGCAAGTGCCACGTTAACGTTCAGAAAGCGTTATGAAACAACAGACGATAAAACATAACCATAAAACAACACTATCTCCCACTATAGTTTTAAACTTAGTGTTTCTGCTTTTAAATTAAAATCTTAAATTCTACAAATAAAAACTGGAATGAGAGCTGGAATAAGAGCTAGTGACTGCTTTCACCGTGTTTCTGCATATGCTACAAAAATGTTTTATTTTTAATTCATTTTCTGGTTCACCAACACCCAAACATTGCCACGAGCATCCCGTCTGAACTGTTGTTTGCTTGAACAATTTGTAAAAACTCCACACATATTTTCAATAAAAAGCAGGCCATTTAAATAGCATGATCGTTATGGTACGTACCGCTTTGTGGCTCTAAATGAGTCAAAACACACCCGAGCGGCTATTTTTTTTCTCTATTTTTGTTGATAAAAATGGATTTGCTTACTCGATACACCTGATATATTAACTATTTTCACAGCATGTGAAATTTTTTTAATAAAAGAAAAAAAAAAGTGTCAGCTCGACATGTACTGTAAACATGAGGAGTCCATCAGTTTGGGTCAGCAAGCAGGACCAGTTTGGCATTTTTTGTACTGGAGTATATTTACAGCTGACATTTTGTGTTTGAAGCATATAGCAATTCTGATAGGATGCTTGTCACCACTCTGCCTTTTAACTCTCCGGAGATTCAAATAAGATTTTAACATATGATATTCCTGGTGAACTTTTCCTTCATCTGTGGCAAACAATACACCATAAACCCCTTTTGGAGAAAAAAAAAACCTGCTCTTTCGAGATCATGAAACTTTTACACTCATTTAGCATTTTAGCAAGGTGGTAGTGTTGTGCTTGGACCATAAAACAACCTACGATGGGACATACAGAGGGCTGCAGACATTTCTTTTTTTCTTTTTTCATTTTTTTTAAATCTCTTGAGGCACTTTTTGACATTTTCATTCAGATGACCTCAGGATTTGAACATTGCAATGGTCCCCTTGCATATCTGACTAATCAACATCCCAAATGACAGTACATTCTTAGTTAGTAATGCACCGATAGTGCATGTATGTGATGTCTACATGACAACATCCAGAGCCCATGTAGTAGTGTTCATGCTATGAGAAAGAAGTGTGTGAAAAGACTGTTAAAAAACTGTTCAGGAGGCGAGGAATTAGAAAATTTCACAAAAAGGAGTGCCAAACATGTGGCTAATCCCTGGCTGCAGAAAGGGGGTGAGTGAGTGTGAAAGAGAAAGACAGATGGCAGAGGAATTAAAGACAATGGCAGAGAGAGAGAGAGAGAGAGCGAGAGAGATGGAAGGGGCGGGTTGGGGGACACAGGCGAGACGCCCTACTAGGGGAAATTGTTCTGTTGCCGGCGTTTGGCAGACCTCAACTTTTCAAAGCGCGACTCCATCTCTTCCAGGACCTTAGGGGTGTATCGTACCACCAGCTTCACTGTCCCCTGAGCAGCCTTCAACAGCTCCACGGCTTTCTCATGGTGCTCTCCTTCTACACTCTGAAAGACATGCACTCTAAAAGTTCAATCCCAGTCAGACAAAATAAATAATTCATCTGAAATGTCATTTAAATGCTTAAAATAGCACCAGTCCATTTTTTTTTGGTGCAAAAAGATAAAGATAACGTGATTATAGCTCGACTTCATCCAGTATATGGATTAATCAGACTTAATGTAAACATAGAGTACTTTAAAATAATATATATCACAAATTATACAATGAATCTACTGTTGAAGCCAAAAAAATTTAACTTTTCGCCACTAGAGGTCGCTTATTCAAAACAAAGGCGTAGCTTGATGACGCCTTGATTTTGCGGAATCATGGTAGTTGTTGTCTTCACCTCTACAGCCGGTGGACTCGGGCAGAAATCATATTCATTGATGATCTCTAATATTAAAGATTTATTAACGTTACAAAAACCGTTGGAGAGGAACGAGGCCGCTGGAGCGATTGGTAATGAGAGACACAGCTCGAGTCGAGAGCAGTGGAGCTTTTATGCCGTAGGCACCGCTTCTGCTTCTTCATGGGGTAACGCGGCGCTGTTTTATCATATACATTTGAGAGCTTTGAAAGTTGTTATAATGCTATAATGCGTGTTCTATAAATCTATAAAGTGTTTCCATGGTTTCTACAAAATAAAACCAGAAATCGAGGGTAACGCTAGTAAGATGTCATTGATAAGCGACACACGTATATCCGGTTCGTGTCCTGGTTAAAACTGCTTATTTCTCTGTATTTAAACATTCAGGATAATGCAAGTACACAAATCAACTAAATATATAACATTGTTCTAGTGGTTTTTGGATATTTTAAAGATGAACTGAACTGAAATTTGAGAAAAGGTGATATAACAGATGTATTTTATTTATTCTCATTGGTACAATTTTTAAAATGGCAGAATTTGTTAAAAGGGATAAAATGGTACATTGAAAGTGTTGTTTTTGTTACACGGGCGCCGCCATGTTGGATTTCAACGTTCGACTACGTCACTGGCATGGTAAGCCACTCCGTTGCCTACCCGCACCAGCAGAACAGCCGTAGCTTGTAAACAGTCTGAGGCTAGCTGACATGGCTAAGGAAACAGATTTTTTAGCGACACACTATTTAGAGATGTGTACTTTCGTCAATGAGTACATGAAACGTCTGACAATGCACGAAATGTTTTATTTACACAAGTTACAAGTTCAATGCATCACGTTAACGTTACTCGAATCCTTGATATTCGGGTGAGGGGGAAAAGATCCCTGATGTATAGTTCACTGTAAAGGATGGGATTTTCTCCTTCCTAAATGCACCCTCGCCCATAGAGTGAACTGCCAGTACGCTGTTAATCTAAACAATCTGAGAAAAGTGTAACAAGTTAGCCCAGCCGTCACCTATTCGTAAAATACCCTGCTACTTATGGGGCGGTCCAGCGTCTCAGCTCGGACATCCATTAGAGTCAGCATAGCCTCCTTCAACACGTTTCTCTCACCGAACAGCATCCGAAATGAACGGTGCATGGTGATGCATTTTTCGCCGATCAATAAATGTCCATGTTGACCTCTCTGCAACAGATCGTCTCCGTTCAGTGTCTATGCTCCACAGCGCTCGCGCCCACAGTCACTTTCCCCCAAACGATCCTGTACTGCAAGTGAAGCCTGAAACTGATCGTCCTCCATGTGGTGGTAGTTAGACACTACCGGCCTGTCCCTCACGGGCTCAAATGCGTAATCCATGCCGTTAAAAGCGCTCATTTTCGTCTGTGTGTAAAGGACCTACAGCTGTTGTCTATGGCGCTCCGCGGGTCCTACCATGCCAGTGACGTCATCGGAACTGCCAGCGCTAACAAGCGCAATTTTGCGTTGCTTAAAAAAGCTATATTAATATATATTTTTAAAAAATGTTTAGTGTAATTTACTTTTAATTGTCATAAACAACACGTTTTCAACGTCGATATTTTTCAGTTCAGTTCATCTTTAAATCCAAAAATGGTACATAGTAGGGGTGCAACGGTACAGATAGCCCACGGTACGGTCCGTACCTCGGTTTTTGGGCCACGGTCTCGGTTCGGTTTCGGTACATGTTTTGTGCAGAAAGAGACTGCTATTTCATCCCAAAAATATGTTTTATTTTTCTTATATGCATTAACATAATGTCACAGTAGGAAGAACATCAATGTGTATGAAATAAATTAACACTCTAGTCTGTATTGAACAGAACTAAGTAATACAACCTCTTCAACTGCCACTTATAAAATACAAAATGTAAACAAACACACTTTAGAATATTCAAGTGGATCCCAATTCCAAACCTTGATAAGGGTTTGCGTTTTGCATCCACTAGATGTGCTGGGAATGTAGCGAGTGCGCGGAGCCGGAGGTGAGGCGTTTATTTAGTAAGCGTGAGCGCGCTGGGGCGGGCACAACGTACATTCGCAGCCTGACTCATATATTCAATGTGCTGCGGCTCGCTGCAGCAACGGCTCGCTGTTTTGAATGAGACGACCCGGTACTGTGAACGGGGAGCGGTTTTTTGAACATCTGTGACGCGCGAGCAGCGCCGTGTGACAAAGCGGGCATATGCTGGACACGAGCGCGAGTTCGCGGGCGAATTTAATAACGCGGAGCGTTGTTAACTAATTCCATATATAAGGCGATCCGGATTATAAGGCACACTGTCGTTTTTTGAGAAGATTAAAGGCTTTTAAGTGCACCTTATAGTGCGGAAAATACGGGAAAAGGATCAGCACGAACTCTATGGCAAAACCGAAGTCCCGCGGGACACGAGGGTAGATTGTCCCGTGCAGGGCTGACCGAACGGTCCGGGATTTTACCGTGTACCGTTGCATCCCTAGTACATAGCGTGGCTTTAAAGTTTAAACAGACTTATTAAAAATTACAACATATTAAGGATGTCCCGATACCACTTTTTCACTTCCGATACCGATGCCACAGTTTTGGCTTTTGCCGATACCGATATTAATCCGATATTTTTATTTTATTTTTAAACTAATAAAAAATATAGCAATTTTCTCAATTAGCCCCTTAAAATATACCTCCAGTATATAGTTCACAACCCACCCTTTATTCAAACACTATATATATAAAAGAAAATGCAGGTACTTCAGTACTTAAAGCTAGCTAGCTACCAACAGGTTTAAAGTTAAAACAATTTAAACAGCAGTGTTCTACATTTTAAATACCAGTACAGTTTTTTTTTTAAAGCAATTAGAATTTCTATAACTGTGTGTTAAACTGATTATCACTCTTGTGTGTGTTAAACACAATCTACTTAATACAGACAGCTTCATTATAAAGATAAACAACAAATCCCCAAAATATATGATCATAATCTATGACAACAAATGCTGTTATAAACTAGATTAGTGAATAATACATATTGCTCTTTGTATTGTTGTAAAATACATTCATGAAAAACAATATAACAAAAATGAAAAAGATAATTATTTTAAATATAGCCAAGTGAATTTTTTAATATATTTTTATATACTAAAAAATTGAGACATTAAATGTATAGCACAGCTATTTAATGAGGCAGCAACATTAATAATTATTAATGTTAATAAGCTTTAATTATGTCACTGCATTATGATATGAATGACTCCAACACAGTGCGGCACAAAGCGCTTATGCGCATTCCGAGCGCAGAATGATGCGCTTGAAACCACGTGGAGTTACAGCAACACGCAGCCGAGTATGCACCCTATGCATGTTGCGCGTCGAGTCCGCTTTGAAAAGTTCAAAGCACAAAGGAAATACATATTGATGGACAGTGTATTAAACAGTATCTATCTATACAACAGTTTATTGAGCCTTTTCTTTAAACAGTTTTAAATTTCAGTTACTGTGCGCGTGAAGAACAATAGTGCTCTGACTCTGGTGAGGTGATCTAACTGACAGCGTCCGACACCTGGTAGGAAGTAACACGATAGTTACAGGAATAAAGTCCAGCAAGATAATGTTGTTTTATGCGAAAATATAGACCCTAATCTACAGATAAAGTATAATAGTATTAACATTGAATCATCTTGAAGATAGTTTCATCATTTACTGTAACCGAACGCGACGCGCTGTTTTGAGTGCTGATTGCTGAATGGAGAATGACTGACAGGGAAGAGTTTACGTGATCTTGAATTTAATGACATAAATATTAATTTCTCTCTCACATAATATGGCTTCAGAACACTTATAATAGAGTGCACGAAAACGTTATGGTACTTTAGAATGTTTTGGTGCCTTCTGTGGGGCTTAACAATAACATAATAGTATACACACAATATCGGATTTGGATCGGCCTCGTCTGATCGATACCCGATCCCGCAAAAATGGCTGGATCGGAGCCGATACCGATCCTGAGTATCGGATCGGGACATCCCTACAACATATAAAGCGTTATTGTGGATGACGTGGCTGTGCAAGGCATTAGCAATATACATACCACTCCATTGACGGAAAGCAGCTGGTCTCCTCTCTTTAGACCGCCGTGCCGATCAGCGATGCCTCCAGGAATGATACGGGAGATGTAGATGGGTGAGTTTTGTTCCTTCCCACCCATGATGTTAAACCCCAGTCCCTCCTCTGTTTTTGGGAGCTCCACCACACGGGGGTGAGAATGACCCTCACTGGCTGCAAATGCAGCAACTGTAGCCTGAGAATGAAGTGAAGATGTTCAATTTATTTATCAAGCACATATTAATACAACAAAAATCTAAAAACATCTCAAACATCTCAAAATCTAATAGGCATCAATAATAAACTATTACACCACTGGCACAATATAACACATGAATGATCAAAATACCAGAGTGAAAAAAAGAAGTTTTTAAATGTTGTTTAAACTCTGTAAGAGAGGAACATTTCCTGATATAATGAGGTAAACTATTCTACAGCCTGGGAGCAGCCGCTGCAAACGAGTGGTCTCCTCTCATTTTCCTGTACGTGCACGGGACTACCAAGAGATTTAATGATTCGGAGCGCAATGCTCTTTTTGGTTTATTCACCTGGATTAGATGAGCTATATACAGTATGTCGGAGCAATGCCATGTAATGCTTTAAAAACAAATAAAATTATCTTAAAATTAATCCTGTAGAAAACCGGCAAGCAATGTTGTTCTCTTAATACAGGAGTAATATGCTCATTTTTTCGAGTGCCTGTCAAGAGTCTAGCGGCCGCATTTTGGATTAATTGCAATCTGTTTAAGCTTTTGTGTCGAACACCTAGTACGTAGATGTCTGTAAATCAACCACTTATGAGTACCATTCATTTATTGTCTTGTGCAATTTTAACATTGTATATAGAAAAAGTTCACAATATTACTTTTTTCTTGGTGAATAGTTGCTTCAAAAACATTGCTCAAAAGTTCCCCAAATTTTTCAATGGTAGTGAATAAATAAATACATTATTTATTTATTTATTATATAATAAAAAACTACAAATTAGTGTAGTTCCTCATATAAGTTGCAAATTATTTTGTATATATTTATTTATGTATATAAATAAATAAATATTTTGCTCATATACTTTTTGGCCATTAGTGTGGTGTTAAAGAAAGCATTACAACCAAGCCAATCAGATAATGAGATTGACTGTCTGTCAATGTGTGGATTTAATGTGAGTTACAGAAAAACTTCTGTCCATTCGATTAGGAGGTATTCAGCGTCTTACCTTTGCTGTTGCATTCGCCCTCACCTCTGGGCTGCTATTTATGTCCACCGTCTCATACACATGCTCATATACCTGAAAATAACAGAAAAAAATGCTGGAATTTCAACAATTCAGTATTGAATAGAACCTCTACGGTCGTCCTCTGATAAACTATCCAAGTAAACAAACACAGATGTACAGTTTGAGCCAGATTTCCAGAACCTGAGGCAGTTTCCCAGATCCTTCTCAGTTTAGTTACAAACTTAATTACTTGTGAATCGTAACTCACCCTTAAAAAGCAGTTTAGATGAATCACATTAGTCTGTATCAGATCTTCAGTGGACAGCCACCATTAACAGAGCAACTGTGTATTAGACTGGGTCTAATCGGTGAATGGAAAGCCACACCATTAAGTGGCTACAGTATCAAATCAATCTCTTTACTTGGCTTGCCTCTTGATGCTTTAACACATGTTAAACCTCTATTCCATCTTCCATTCAGGGCCACTGTAATAAGTCCACCCACATGCCTCAGCATTCAACTGCAAGTCATTCGTGTTTATCGGGGAATCAAGCAAGCATTCAGAGGTTCAGTGCAAAGCGTAAATGTTTAAGAGACGAAGCTGTTCAGTTACTAATAAATCACTTTACACATCAATCAAATGCACATAACTCAAGCACCATCACATGCAACAACCTAAATAAGCATTTCTGGAGAAAATAAAACATGGAAAACAGACCACAAAACAGACCGTCCAGAGACTGGGTTTATTATACAGTAAAGTGTGTAGGCACCGTGTAGATAACTGAAGGCCCGGGAGCAAGCTAAACTTTCCAGGAGTTTCAGAGAACCAAAGACGCATTTTCAAGACTTACACACTCAACAGGGAGGAGAAAAAAAAACAACAACTTGAGACTATAAAACGTGCTTTTATAAAACTATATTTTGGTGCTTGAACTATGACTATAATAATTTGCAATGTTTTTTTTCTAGAAATAAAAAAAACATGTCTTATATCAGTAATTGGCCGATATTAGTTTTTTTTTGCATTAAAGGAGTAGTTCCCTTTAAAAAGAAAAACTTTTGCTGATAATTTACTCACCCCCATGTCATCCAAGATATCCATGTCATTCTTTCTTCAGTCGAAAAGATATTAAGAAAACATTCCAGGATACTTACTGGTAACCAAACGGTCACAAGCTCCAAATGACAGTTTCAGAGCAAACTGTTCAAAGGGCTTTAAACGATTACAGACGATCAATAAGAGTCTTATCAACCGAAACAATCGCTCATAAAAAAAATAAAAATAACAGTTCAAGTTTTATAAGCTCAAATGGTCGCCTTGCTCTGTTCTGTGATGCGCGTTCGTGACTCTCCTGTTCGAACTCGTTCATCAAAATGAACAAATCTTTTTTCGTGTCATTTGGTTCATTCAACAAACAAAATGAACGAAATGACTCGGGAAAAGATTCGTTAATTTTGATGAGTTTCAACAAGAGAGTCATGAACGCGTGATCCTGGAAAATCCTGGAATGTTTTCATCAAAAACCTTAATTTCTTTTCGACTGAAGAAAGAAAGACATGGACATCTTGGATAACATGGGGGTGAGTAAATTATCAGCAAAAGTTTTTTTAAAAGTGAACTACACCTTTAAATAGTGATGCACCAATATGAACATTTTGGCTGTTACCGATAATAACTGATATATTGTTCAAATATTGTTGATATATAATTTGAGAGCCTGATTACAAAAGTCTCAACATTAAAAGCCATGTCCCAAGCAAACCAATTATAATAATGTTCTCATTATAATTTTATATAGCCTATATGACAGACTTATTGACCTATATGTTGCACTTGACTGTGTTGAAGTGATTTCAATCATATAGACCATTTCACAAAATGTAAACAACACTGGTCCAGAAACACTTCCTGTTTCAGTTTGTAACTGTTTTCTTTATTTCACATGTAAAGAAAACATCTTAAAGATGATTGTTTAACTTTTTGATTCAGTTTTAAATGTTCTGTTGGTTGTATTTTATCCCAGCTTTTATGTAGTGTTAAAAAATTGAAACTGGAAGTGCTTCTGGACCAGTGTTCTTTACATCTTGTGAAATGGTCTATATCTCAAGCAATTCACAACTATCATGGTGAACAGTGCACTGCACATCTGAAGTTTTTTAGCTGAAGTAAATAATACATTATTTATCGGCTTTGATATATCTACCAAATTTCCTTATGGGGCCAATAACATTGAAAATAAACATATTGGCCGATACTGATATGGTGGCCGATATGTATCGTGCATCCCTAACATTAAATTGATCAATAGTGATAGTAATGATTTGCATTTGCATTTTTAGATGCAGTTCTTTTGAATGTGCTATTCAACACCAATAATAAGCAATGTTTCTTGAGCAGCAAATCAGCAAATTAGAATGATTTCTGAAGAATCATGTGACACTGAAGACTGGAGTAAGAATGCTGAAAATTCAGCTTTTTACATCACAGGAAAAAAAATATATTCAAGTAGAAAACAGCTCTTTTAAATTGTAAAAACATTTCACATTATTACATTTTTTTTTTACTGCATTTCTGATAAAATGCATATAAAAATGCAGCCTTGGTGAACACAAGTGACTTTACATTAACAAACATTGCCAAATCTTACTGACCCCAAACGTTTGTACAGTAATGTATAACCTTTAGATTAATTACTTAAAACAAATTGTTAAAAAAAACCTACTTTACATTTCATGTTTAGCAAATCTCAAAATGAGTATCCATTTTTCATACTGTCCATTATAACATTAAAGGGTTAGTTCACCCAAAAATGAAAATTCTGTCAGTTACTCACCCTCATGTTGTTCCAACCCCGTAAGACCTTCGTTCATCTTCGGAACACAAATTAAGATATTTAAGATATTAAGATCGCTCCTGCATACAGTCCATAGGCTTCTTGAGGTACTGGCTCTTGCTGTCCCCGAAAAGTCATTAAAGACATCGTTAAAATAGTCCAAGTGACTACAGTGGCTCAATCTTAAGTTTATCAAATGACGAGAATACTTTTGTGCGTAAAAAAACAACAAAAATAACGACTTTATTTCAACTATTCACTTCCTTCTCCATGTGCCTGTAAGTCAGTTAACGTAGTGTGATTGCGTAGAGCTACGTCACACGTAGGCTCACCATTGGCCGACGCTGGTCATGTGTGTGTGATGCGTGTGACGTACAATAACAGAAGCTTACGCTATTAAACTAGTAACCTGACTCGCACAGAGGGAGAAATAAACGAATAGTCGTTATTTTTGTTGTTTTTTTGCGCACAAAAGTATTCTCGTCGTTTGATAAAGTTAAGATTGAGCCCCTGTAGTCACTTGGACTATTTTAACGATGTCTTTAATGACTTTTCGAGGACAGCAAGAGCCAGTCCCTCAAGAAGCCTATGGACTGTATGCAGGAGCGATCTTAATATCTTAAATATCTTAATTTGTGTTCCGAAGATGAACGAAGGTCTTACGGGGTTGGAACAACATGAGGGTGAGTAAATACTGACAGAATTTTCATTTTTGGGTGAACTAACCCTTTAAGCATAAATATTTTTACGTGATTTAGACATCATTAGAATATAATTTTAATATTTGACATGCATCAGTTACCAGGCATCAGTTATCTGAGCATCACTACAAATAAATAAACAGTTGCTTTATGACAATAATATTACTTTGTCGTAACTGAACATAGCCTACTTAAACACACCCATACAAAAATAACTCTTATATTGCTGCTGAAAACTGAAAATACAGTTTATAAATGGGCAAAATCATTTTAGAAGAGTGCCTGCCCTGACTCATAGACAGTATTAGGAGGAGTATGATGATCCGTACTAACTGATTTTCAAAGAGCCTCTTCAAATCTTTTCACAAATCTTTGCTTCAGAAACCCCTGCTTTATTCTAGGCTCTCACGCAAGGCATGAACAGCATCTCTGCTGCGAGCATCACTTGTGCTGAGACTTCAGAGTCGACAGTGAGCACGACAGATGACCAAGCAGCAGGGAGGAGACCAGTCAAGTGCCAACCGTATTAGATTCACTACATGGGCAACAGAACACTAGTTTTATGCCCAGTCTGAAACAGACAAATGGAAGGATGCTATTTGTGGACATCAGAATCAATATCCAGTCCTTCTGCACAACAATAACTAACTAACCATGTATTACACCAATGAGCACTTTGTCATAAGTGATGAGAGCATTTTCAGTCATAAGCCGTGTACTTGGCCGGGAAAAAGGGGGTTGGTGATGAGGATAAAACAACTTCCATCAGCTCTTTTTTTTTTTTTTAATTTAAAAATAAAATTAGCTAATTCACAACATTGATACGCACATGCATTTCGTCACTTTCAGCAAACATGTGACGGTTTATATGACTCTTTAGTTACATATTCTACAAGACAAAACCCTTCAAACAAGTGATTTTACTGAACACAAGAACTACTTGTGCAAATACCACAATAAAAGTAAAACTTCCAGCACTCTTTTAGATATGTGCTCCTATTCCATGTCACAAAGCAAAGCAGCATGTCGTGTCACTCCGTGATCTACACATTATTATCTTATGTTGTGTTTGGGCTTGTTTGAGACCACCTGCTCCAAATGAAGATATGTGATCTAATGGTTTATTAAGGTTTTGCAAAAATTGTCACAAAAGCATTGTTTACAAGTGCTTTTTCATACAAATATTTGGTATAGTTCGGTCTCAAACTGAAACAAATAGCCTATGCTTGTTGCATTCTGCTAGTTGAGACATTTCAATGATATATGACATCACGTTTTCATTTAAAGCAGCTATTTTTCCACGCTATGAAAATAGAGCACTTGTAATATAGCTAATTGAAAAAGCACTTGTTTAATGGTCATATTCCCTATACTCAAAAAAATCCAAGCTTCTAAGCTTTTAAACAACACTTATTTTGTGTTGGTTAAAAAAAGTGATTGGTAAGTAGCATACTCCTGAATTTCATTTGAATTCATGAATGTGATGCTGGCACAATTACCTCCCGTACGGCATTGCAGAACTCGCTCTGCAAAACCCTCTGCAGTGCCTGCAGCTTCTGGGGAGGCACTTCCCCTGTTCTCTGGAGCTTGTCCAGCAGCTCAATAGCACGAGATATGTCTGTAGAAGAACATATGCAAAACAGTGAGGGCAAGATCAAGACCATGGATAATCATCATACGCATCATGCCATCTGGAGATGTTGTATTAGACTACAATATTATGCCTAAAAAATAATATTAAGCGCTTTTAAAGTTAAGATTTCAGAGTATTTCAAATGGTTACATTGAAATAGCAATTGACATACAAGTAGATTACATATAACAACTGTTCATCCTTATTTTTTATAATATGCGTGTTTTGCATGGACTGCTATTAAACAAGCTAAGATAAGAAGGAATATCCTATGTTAATCAATCTGAAAATGGAAGATATCTTAACATACTCTGTAAAGTGTATAGTTCTCAGATTCAGCCACATAACTAACACATGTCAACTAATGCTCCAACTAACTTTGTAAGGACATACACAGACAGATACGAATATCAAAATAACAATAACTAGACCTCTGATTATCATCATAAATCAGCGCTTTTGCTAATTTGTTAGCCAACGTTCACTCTTCACAACATAAAGCCCCATAAACTTCGGTTGGACAAAAAAATAAGATGATGTCTAACTCTGAAAGACTGTACTAAACCACCAGAAACAATCAAATACAGTGACACTGATGTCTACCGGTAATACTATTACTAAACACTGACCTGGCGGGACCATGCTAACAGTGGTGCTCACAAAAGATTACTGCCTCTGACAGCTAGCCTCGTGTTTTACTTTCATTAAACCAAAACATAGGCTTTAACTATTACATAAAAAAAGATGTTCATACTTCACATGTATACGTTAACCGTATAAGTCGCGGTGTTGATTGAATATTATTAATGATTTGATACAATGAATGGGAGCTAGCTCGCTGTCGTCTACTGCACTAACGTTAACGTTAATCCATTTCATGATGAAGTGACAGCGGGATGTATAGAGCAAAAAGCGTGATTTACACAACCTCCTGAGCATTACATTCAAAATAAAGTGTTTCAGAGAGCGGCTTACCTCTTTCCAGACGCACAGGTTCTCCTAAAGAGGCCATTTTAGCCCTGGTTATTAAAAGTTTGCGTTTGGCGAAAGCTCCAGACTCACGTCTCGCTGCTGTGTGTTTGTTGCTGTTAGCTAGCTAGCTAGCTGCTCAGCTTAAGCGCTGTGGCTAATGCAAAAAGATTAGAGGACGAGTGAAGAGCATCAAACCTGCGCTGCTTCTGTGCAGACACTTTGGATACTACTACAACAAACAATATTTCATTATGAAGAGCCCAAGGAAATATGCTTATATTATATATTTGGAATATGTAATATAGCCTATTTAATTAATAAAACATATAATTGCAGATAAAGAATACTGTTTGGCAAGAACTTTTATACAGAGTTTTCATGCAAATACTACCATTCATATGGAAGCATCATTTCAGTAGAAGATAACCACTGGGGCCCATTCCGTAAACGGCTAAGACTAGTTTTACAAGTTTAGTCACCCATTTTTTCTTTTCTTTAAGACTGTTTATAACTTGCTTAAATCAGTTTGGCTACATCAAAACGTAGATTGAAGTCATTTGATTCAAAGAACAAAAATTGTAGGATAGCCTAATCTAGATTAGGCTACTTTTTTATGTAGGCTAGCTTGATTCTGTATTCATGTTCTTCTGAGTAAGTTTTGATTGCTTTTTAGATTTACTTTTAGATTTTTAATTTTTACCTAACTACTTTATCACATCGACTTGAATAGGATAATCGACATAACAATACAAGAAAAAGAAAATATATGCATTTTTATCAACCTCATCAAGCATTAAATATTAGATCAGGGTTTCACAGACTGGGGTTTGTTAGTTTAACAAAAAGCTATTAAGTAATTAAATCATATAAAAATGATAATTTTAAAATGAAAATAATAAAAAATAAAACATTTACCACAATATTAAAAAAAAAATATTTACCTGCATGTTATGTGACCATAAACCAAATTCAGAGAACCGTGAACATAATTTTATTATTATCATAACTTAATTTCATTATTGACCTAATTTATTAACTTAAAATCTAAGGGCTTAGGCCTTCTTCAAGTAAATATATTAGGGCAAAGAGGTTCGGCTAACAAAAAAGTTAGGGAATCCCTAGCTGCATTAATATGACATGATGTGAATTTGTACATTTTAATGTATTTGAAAGACAAAAGCCTTCCAAAGACAGTCATATAGTTTAATAAATCACTGCCACTGAGTGATAATTCAATAATTGTGTTTGTTGAATTTGATGGTTGATTAGATACGCAATGTTGAGAAAATATTTGTCAAAAGTGAAAAGATTTCTGTAAATTTATAGTGATCAAAGGAGTGATAGTGTTTTTTTACTCAGTTTTCAGTGATCGGCTCATAGTGGCCGGTTTGTCAGTGCAATTCTACAAACCTGGAAGACCTTCTGAAAGTAGAGTAGCCTAAGCAGTAGACTTTTAAAGTAAAATTTAGATATAAGAAAGAAGTAGAATCAATTAATTGAATAATCTACAGCCATTAATTACATAATCAATAGAAAAGTAGGCTTACCTGTATTGGCAGTATTTAAAAAAGTAATCTAATCTAATCTAATTACAAGTACTTCATTTTGGAATCTGATTACGTAATCCAGATTACATGTAAATAGTTATCCAGCATTGTTTGATACCGCAAAGTAAGACTGATTATCCCTAACTGCTAGATGGTCATCTGTCTTAAGACACAGTCTAAATATGGCTATGTTTATGCAACTGGCCCCAATTGTGCTTGCTTTATATATTAAAACCACAGGGTTTCACAGTTTATTATACATAACAAATGTACAGATAAATAAGAGAAAACATTTCTTTTATTAAAAAATTAATTAAAAATAATTAAAGAACACCATTAAAAGAAGACTAATCTGGATAATTGTGCCTTGAAATATGCAATCCTGACAACACACTTTTATAACCAAACTGCACACTAAAAATAATATTTTAACTGTAATTATTTCACTAAATTCTGCAATTATTTTATGATATTTTCATTAGATTCATTTTGCTGTGTTAGTTTTTTACTCCTTCCATATTCTTATATTTTATCAGTCACAAAGCAAACGGAACTGACGTGTTAACACAGTGATTCCATGGGTTTAGTTGCTGGTATTGTAGAAGGGGGAAAAGAGAATAGAGTGGCCTACTTCTGCAGCAAATGGGACAGGGCCCTGCTGGGTCTTAGCAAGGACTACTTTGAACTGGGGAAAATCGGAACCTCACAAAAATAACTCAGTACTGCAAGTTGTTTCTCGGGTAAAATGGACCAGGATAATCTTGTATTGTCTATCTAGTCCATTTGCCATTGCTGTATATGTTCCATTTTGCAGTAAAAGCTCATACTTTATATTTTTGTTCATATAATGCAATACTGAGAGCTATTATTTATTTCAATACCAAAACCTTTTTGACTGTGGGAGACCTGAAAATTGTTTGTTTGCTGAGAAAGGATGCACCCATGATCAGGCATTTTGACTTTCTGCATGAGCATCATTTCTTGCCGTCCAAATACGTATGATGCAGTGAGACACTTACCATAAACAGATGAAGCTCTGTGTCCTCCCTTATCTGTAGCAGTGTATCGGTGTCAGACGGTTTCTGTTTAGTTGTCTGATAACAGCCTTTGAAGGAAAGCAGGATTGTGTATAGGTCTGTGTTCAGGTGTATCGGATATCACGTGGAGTGCATTGGAGTGTTGACTCCATTGATCTATCTTTCAGACAAAAGAAAATCCTAATCTCTTAGTGCTAGTGATGAAGGCCTGTACTCACTGACTGGACAACATTATATGAGGGACTGGTTTCCATAGAATTTACATGCCAATTAGAATAAGTCTTACCTGAGAACTCTCTGGACTATTTGTTCTTCCGTGGAAAAGAGTCGAAACTACATTGCATATGGGTTCATCTGCTTTGCAAAATGATTCAATGCGAAATTTCAAAAGATTCTGCTCAATACGGATATTATATGATGAGAGGATGGGAGATAAATTCTGAATTTTGTTTTTTTTTTATCCCTTCTGAAATCATTTGAATGTAGGATCCAATGTATGTTCGTCGCGAGAGAACATGTTCTCTCCAAACTTGTGCCAAATTTAAACCTGCAAAGCGAGAGCTCAAACTTTATTGACATTGCTTTTGTTTTTCAGTTGCCTATAGTAATTTTATTTCTTCAAATATTTCAATTTAATATTGCAAACAACTTCACAACATACAAAATGAATTATATTAATCCAGAACACATGTCAATGAATAAATTTTTATATATATTTTATATATACTTTTTTCATCTTGTGGGGATAAAAAAATAAACAGCAAAGCTTTGACAACAGCACCTTGACATAGTATGTATTTCCAACATTACCTTGAGAAGTTGAGGATAGTAAACAGACAGAGTACTGAGAGGAGGAAATCCTGTTACGGTTGAGAATGTAAACGGAATGTTTTGGTCGGAAATCGTTTCCTTGTTTTTCCAAAGTGGACAGTTTCTGAATTCACAATTGAAGCAGCATGCAAGTTTTTTTTCTTTTCTTTTCGTTTTTTTTTTCTTTTCTTGAATGTAATTCTTCCTCACCCCCTCCTCTCCTCATCTCTCAAAATCTTGGCAACGTAAAAAAAAACACAATGTCTCGAGGAATGTGATATAGTAATTTGAACTGGGCGCAAATGACTGATCAGATCTTTTTTTAATTGTTTACAAGGTCATGAATATGTTCAATAAATAGACTGTAGTATCACTTTTACTGTATAAACTTCATCTTTTTTACATGCAGTCCATAAAATTTTCATCTGACGGAATAATTTACCCTGTTATGTATATATACAAATAGATATTTTCTCTTTTCTCTCTCTTTTTTAGAACTTTCAATAAAATCTATACATTGTGTACACTATCTGCCCCTTTTAATGGTCAATGTGCATACACACGAAGTGTCTATCCGTATAAACCGCCAGCCGATCTTCCTTTTGCTATCCATGGTAAGGGCTCGCACGTAAGACTGGGTTGTCCGGCATTGCGAGTTATAGTGCCGCTTGTCTATTCCTCGGCAGCCCTCCTTTGTGTAACCCAAGGGGTTGCATTTGGTCTCGTAAAAGTATTGCTTCAGCTGACCGTTAGTCACAGGGACCTTCTCCAGGACGGTGACCGTCTGGCCCGACATGTCTATGGCCGTCTTTTTGTCCACAGCCGTCACCCACTGGCTAATACTGTCACAAACGCTGAGCTCCCCTCGTCGCGCGGGGTCTGAGTGCCGCCGCACGCGCATCGACATGTTGGCGGCGTCCAGGTAGTTTTTGTATTCCTCCAAGAGAAAGAGTAACGGCGGCTCCAAAGGCACTTGGTTGCTGATCATCACCCGCGAGGCGTACAGGTCAACGTCCTTCGAGTCTGCCGTGGCTACGGGACCGCCCCCTCCTTGGCCCTGGTCGGCCCCGGGCCCCAGTTGCTGCGTCGCCTCCCCTTCTCCCTCAAGCAACTCCTCAATCACCTGCTCGAAAGTGTCCGTGAGCGAGGGCAGCCCGCCCCCACTCTGTGGAGTCCCGTGGCCTCGGCTGCCTGAGGTGACGGCAGCAGCGGAGGCGGCAGCAGCGTCCAGGTAGCTCTCGGCCCAGAGACCCCCCTGCAGGCCCGGGATCTCTCTCACGGGCGCAGCTCTCATGCAACTGATGTATGAAATAACCATAGTAACAAACAGGATTGTCATCACTCTTCTAACCTGTTGGAACTGGAGACAGCAAAAGGGGAAAGACAAGAGGGACGGGGGAGTGAAAAAGGGGAGGGAGGAAGAGAAAACACAACGTAAAAAAAACATTTTCATTCAAGATACTGCATTACGTGAAACACTTCTCCCCTGATCAAAGAAAGATCAATAGTCTAGTGTGGTTATTGTGGCCAATGAAACTGAGATTGCAAATCATTTCCGTAACGCATTCACAAACACAACACGCCAACTTGTTATTTCTGATTCATTTTTAGTCACTGGCCCACGGGAGTGCAACTAACACTGTACACTTTCTCCATCCCCACTCACACACCTGCACTTTCGCGCCCCCCTTTCCCCCTTAGCAGCAAATGCAGAGGGCTAAATTCAGAGACCCTGGAGTATCATTAT